AATCAAATAATAAATTAGTATACTCAAAATGCTCTATTCTTGGTTCCCAAAACAACTTTATTCTTACATTCATACAGAGTTTCAAATTCTTTTAAGAGTGATCAGTTTTATTCTGGCATATATTAAAATGAAAATAAATAAATAAAGTAGAAATAATTTATATTATTTACACACTAGAAGTAAAAATAATACATTCATAAATCAAGATATAATAGTGTAAATTTACATGTTAAAATTCATTTATGTATCAATGTTCTGTTAAAATAAATCTTGTTTTTCCACATCCAGTTGCTGCACTATTACATAGCTGTCTATATATTTTGTCTCAAAATAGTTATATAAAAATTGGAAGTAGTTTCTCAGAGTGTGTAATATCTTTTGAGATATAACCATACTGTGAATGTTGGTTGTAAATAAGTCACAGCTGACTTGGGAGAAAAGCCTAGCGAAAACTTTATATAATGTTCTATTCAGTCCGCAGCGCTTCAGAAAGTTTTCCATATCATTTAAGCAATATTTAGTTCAAGCCATGGCTTCAAGCTATCTTACCTAGTTCAGGGTTGGCCTTCTTCCGGTTCTATCATTCATTAAACCTAATTCCTTTTGCACAGCATATTTAAAGCTTAAGTGTTGTATGGCTTCATTTGACCTATATCTTAATACACCCTATCATTGTTCCATATTTGTTCTTCACTTCAGGAAAAAAAGAGACTTATAATTGTTTAGGGTTTCTAATTTTTGTTTGTGTGTGTTTCATTTAATGGAAAATAAAATATTTTTACTTGAAATGGTTATGCATAGTGTTTCCTCGAGCAATCATGAAGTGGGCAAAATAATATTTTCAAGAACAAAATGGTAAGAGATTGTAACTTGTAACAAAAGCTTGTAACCATTCTCTGCTCCTTAACCTTTCTAGAGCTTCTTAAAATAATTCAATAGGATAATTGATAAAAAGTAGTTCTATGCTCTTATTATGAGTGTTGTCTTTCAGATTTATTATTAAGTGTTGATGGCCACTACATAATGTTCACTCAAAAAGATACAGTACATATAGACTTAAAGGATATATGTAAAAAGGCCAGATTTTTGAGATATAAAAAAATAAGACCAAGATAGATCACTTAAGAATTTTTTTTCCACCTTTAACATATAAGCTGTACAATTCAATTGAAAAACAAACTGAAACTTTTAAGAGAAAAAATAACTATAAAAAACATAAGTAGCATGGTTTCATAAGTGTGCACACCCTTAAACTAATACTTCATTGAATCACCTTTTGATTTTCTAACAACATTCAGTCTTTTGGTAAGAGTCTATCAGCATGGTATATCTTGCCTTGGGAATATTTGACTGCAGTCCCTTGCAAAACTGCTCCAAATCTGTCAAATTGCAAGAGGATCTCGTATGATCAGCCCTTTCAGACACCCCACTGATTTTCAATTGGATTCATGTCTGGGTTCTGGCTGGGCCATTTAATCTACTTCTGGTGAAGCCATCCTTTTGTTGATTTGGAGGTATGTTTTGGGTCATTGTCGTGTTGAAAGAGGAAATTCCTTTTCATCTTCAGCATTTTAGCAGAGGCCTGAAAGTTTTGTACCAAAATAATTGCAACTGTTCAAAATTTCCTCTGCCTTGACTAAAACTCCAGTTCTAGCTGAAGAATAGCAGCCTCAAAACAGAATGCTGCCACCACAATGTTTCACTGTGGATATGGTGTACTTTTAGTGATGTGCAGTGTTGCTTTTGCAACAAACATACTTTTTGGAATTAATGGTTCAATCTTGGTCTCATTAGACCTTAATGCATTTTCCCACATGCTTTTGTCAGATGTGATGTAGGTTTTTGCAAAATCTGGCCAGACTTGGATGTTTTTCTTTGTAAGAAAAACACCTTACCCCATATGAAGAATATGGGAGATTGTTGTCACATGTACAACAATCAGAAATTGCCACAGCTCCTTCAATATTGCTGTAGCCTCTTGACAGCCTCCTAGACCCCAGTGTTCTTGTTTTTTTCATCAGTTTTGGAGGAACATCCAGTTCTTTGTAATGTCACTGTTGTGCCATATTTTTTATACTTGTTGATGACTGTCTTCAGTGTGTTCTATGGTATATCCAGTGTCTGGGAAATTATTTTGTATCCTTCTCTTGATTAATACCTTCCAACAATAAGATTCCTTTGATCCTTTGTAAGCTCTTTGCAGATGATGGTTTTTGCTGTAAAAAGCAATTCAGTAAATGTCAGAAAAATCTTGCTAGAGCACCTGAAGTTTAAATGGACTTGATCACATTCATCTGGCAAATGTGTACTGACCTCTATTTTAACGTCAATTTGAATATGCAAGAAATCAGGACCCAAAGTGATTGAAATTAATATTGATTTAATGCCTGCTAACAATTTCTACAAGAATCTGAACCACTAATAGTCATAGCAACCTGACTTTATATAAGTCAACAGAATTCAAGGTAGCTGGACTTAGATCTCTTGTGGGCGGCGAAGAAATTTGAGACCAATAATATGCTTGGTATCTCCCTTGGACTCAGCTTGGTCATCTCCCCTTCAGTTGGTTAACTCTGAAAACAGCCACTTTTTTATTTGTAAGAAGGTGTGCATATTTAAGCAATCACATTATTATAAGTTTTTTTTAGTGTTATGGTTTGTTTTTCAATTAAATTATACATCTTATATGTATATTATTAAAAGGTGGAAAAAATTCCAAAGTTATTTATCTTGGTCTTATTTTTTTTTTACATTTCAAAACCTAGCATTTTACAGAGCTTTTACTATATTAAAGAAGCAAGGAAATATTCAATACATTAATGTATTAGAAATTCGATATATTAATTGGAATAAATTAGTCAAAATTTTGTTTAGAATAAATTTCAGTGTCCTTCAAATTGTTGACATATATTTACAGTGGTGCTTAAAAGTTTGTGAACCCTTTTGAATTTTTAATAGTTCCTCATATTTATGCCCTGTGATCTGTTAATCAACTAAACATTGTTCATTTATTTATTGAGAAAAATATGTACACATGTATATCCTTAGGATCACTTTTCTAAGTATGATTTTAAACATTTGTTTAATTGGTTCTCTTTGTATAATTTTACAAATTATGTGGAAAACAGATCATGTTTATGCAGAGATATTAAAAAATATGTTCAACGATTACCAATGGCAGTTTATTTAAAAAGAAATTAGGTGCCATATCTTATTTTTAGTTATGTAGACCAAGAATAGTAAAAAAAGGACACCAAATTTAAGAGCTGAAGATAATATGTATAGATATTGATATTCTAGGAATTCTTATAATTTATCATACCATTGATAAATTGAGAAATGCAAATTTTGAAGTTTTAAATGTATCCAATAAGTCAGAATGTTTTCTTGTTCTTCACTGTTTATGTAGATAGAGTGTCTTAGAGTGTCATCTTCAGGACAGGGTTGTTACTAGAACCAGCATAAAAAATCCAGGTTGTTCAGGTAGGAATGCATTAATAAAATGAATAATATTGGACTTAAGAAGACTCCCCACTCTTTATTGTAATATTTAACATTGTATGAAAAAGACATTCAGGTGTGTATGGTGGGTATTAAAAGTTTGTCAAATATTTTTATTTGGTTCATGATGGATTCATACTTTGTACGTGAATGACCATTATGTGCAATTTTGTAATATATGGAACATTATGTTAGAAACTTAAACCATAGATTTTTGTCTCAACAAATCGGCAGTCATGTCTTGAGGAAAAATTTCATGTCTGAACAGATTTGGAAATCTCCTATCTGTAATATCCCAGACCAATGTTTTGGATCTTTTAACTAGAATGAATAGAAATGTTCACTTTGTTCGCTAACTTCTATTATGCCGTAGCTACTTAAAGGAAATATGTGCATAAGTTTATTAGCAAGTTACTTTTGGAGTAGGCCAAAATGTGTCTAAATGTGTCTAAAAATATCTCCACAATTATTGGGCTTTCTTTGTAGTTAACATTTTTCCCATTTTTTTGTCCTGGTCTTCTCTAAGGTTCTAGGACAACACCTTTACTAAAGAGTTTCTCAGTGCAATTACTCCATCCAAAATTCAGCCTAGTGAGTTGGAATAAAGAGAACAGATCTGTTCATTATCTAGAAAAACAGACACTGCAAAATTGAAATTTGTATGCATCTGACACATTTTGATATAATGTTCCAAGGTCAGTAAATTAGATTAAATATATGTCTGAAAAAAAGAAAAAAGTCTGGAGTGCTGTTTCCAATTTTAACGTGTTATTGTAGCACTTTAATCAATTTTTAACTTTGAACATGTCAGATTGCATAGTATCAATTCACAGAACTATCAATAGGGAATGAATAAACAAACATATTTGTTGATCATGATATAAAAATAGATTGCTGCAGAGATATCAATTATTACCTTGGACAAGGTACAGTCTTTTTTAATAAAGCCAATTTGATAAACAAGAATATTAGTGTAGGTACTGATACTACACTATGTTTGTATAGTCATTGTGATAATATTTGACATGAAAGTTTAGTGGATGGAAACCTAAAAACAGGTTTTAGTTTCAGAAAATTGTGGAAGGTAAACAATGTATGCTAACAGTTCAATCTTTAATGTAATTTGTCATTTCAACATACTTTGGATTTGTGTATGAATTTCCTGAATAACATTGTTCAAACATATATTTAATTGACTGCCATTTTTATTAAGTTCCGGATCTTATTAACAGTAGAAGCATTATTTGAAAGTATATATATCATTTCCCCCACTTTTAAAAAATCTGCCAGTACCATGGATAGCTTGAACATATTGTTTGAGGATGACAGTGGTAGTCCAACACATCTAAGGGCACCAAGTTGGGTAAGACTCGGTTGTATCAATCTATGTTGCAAAATATGTTTTTTTCTGAGAATATAGAAATATGTTCTAAGTTGACAGTTAACTTTTAAAAAATTTGATGTGATTAAAATACATTTTTTCTTCTATTTTCTGCCAGCACTGGTTTACTGAGCTACCTCCGGTCTTGACCTTTGAGCTCTCAAGATTTGAATTCAATCAAGCTTTGGGAAGGCCAGAAAAGATACACAACAAATTAGAATTCCCTCCGGTTTTATACCTGGACAGGTATAGCTCATTATAGAACTTGATAGGATAATATAATTTTGGATGTAATATTCAGAGAATAATAATCTAATAATCAGTTCTTTTAGTTGCTACAATTTAATATAGTATTGTGAAAAATATATTTTCCATTTCATCCCCATTTATTCTTACGACAAAAATTAGAGTTTGGACATTTGGCATCTCTTTTCCATGTAGGGCTCTAATCTATATTGGATGATCCTAACAATTATTTTATTAGCATGTGAAATTAAGCATATTATGCAATAATTTGCATACTCTATTCAATTTTCTTTTTTTGCTATTAGAATGTAGATTAACCTCTTCCAATAGAGTATTATCTGTCCATTGGCTTCCTTTAACATAGCTATTTGAGGTAGGAACTTCTTCTGAGTTCAGAGATCTTTATGTATTAAATTTGAAAGGCATCCCTTGTTTTTCCTTGCGTGTTTCTCTCATCAGTATCTATATTGATATTGCTGTAATGCTGCTCCTTATCTTTTCTAACAGTTTTCTGAAATTCTCAGTTCCTTTCCAAGACTTCTGTCTTGTTGATAATTTCTGCTGTCTGATATTCAGCTTGTTTTCTTCTCTTCATGTTTGGCATTGTTGTTTCACATTCATTCTTAATTACTTAAGTTCATACCATAATTCTTCTAGTTCTTTATCAGTGAGGTTCGTGATCCTGATGTTTTCTTTGTCAATGGTGGGTATATGTTCAAGATCCTATTGTGGAAATAGTCTGGCTTTCTTTTTCTTTAGCTTACCTTGAAACCTGAGTAATTTATGATCTGTTCCATAGCCAGCACCTGGCCATGTCTTTGATGCTATAACTGAGCTCTTCAGTTCGGTGTTTTAAGATAGTATTAACTGAAGAAACATCTAGAGTGGCAGAAATTGATAACTTTTTTCCCTTCATTTCAGTTTCATAAGTTATACAATCCAACTGCATTTATGTTTTTAAGAAGTGACTAGATAGTCATTTATTTAAATTTGTATAGGTTGTCCTGCTAGAGCAGGGAGCTGGATTAGAAGACTCCAAAGTCTAGTCTACTCTACTCTACTCTACTCTACTCTACTCTACTCTACTCTACTCTACTCTACTCTACTCTACTCTACTCTATTCCCCTTTTAATATTTCCAACTTTGGCATTTCAGTCTTCAGTCACAAGCAACACATATTGCTTGCATTGTCTCCTGATTTCAAAGTGAACTTGGTCATAACACTTCTCTGCTTCTTCTGCATCTGTGATTGGAGTATAAACTGGAATGATCATCACATTAAAGGATTGTTCACAGAATCTAATCGGTATTTAATCATTGATTGTATTGTAACCAAGTACTGTTCTTGCTATACACTTCCTAACTATAAAAGCAATGCATTCCTTCATTGTTTTAAATTCTTAGTAATAAATAGTGTGAAATAGTCTTTCATACTGAAAGATTGAAACTTCTGATCAATCCATTTTATTTAACTGTTGCCTAAGATATCAATTTATAGTTTTTTAATTTCACCTTTCTCCTGCTCTTTCCCATTTTCATTCTTTTATGTTTCTGCTTTCCAGCTTTTGGTTTTCTTTTCTTATATGGCCAGGATGGCAAACCTATGGCATGCATTCCACAGGTGGAACACGGAGCCATTTGTCAGGGCACACAAGGTGTTGCCCTGTTAGCTGGCCAACACACATGTGCACACTGGCCAGCTGAGTTCAGCCTTTTTAAAAGCCATTTTTCGCCCTCCCCAGGCTTCAGAGGCTTTATAGGAGCCTGGGAAGGGCGAAAAGAACCTCTCCCTGGGGAGGCTTCAGGAGTTTCCCTGAAGCCTCCAGAGTACAAAACACCAACCCTACGGGCATACAGGAAGTTCAGGAACGGACTTCCGGTTTGCTCATAGGGTCGTTTTTTGCCCTTTGGAGGCTTCAGGGAAACCTCCTGAAGGTCTCTGAAGCCTCTGAAGGGTCTCGGGGGGGGGGCTGTTTTCACCCTCCCCAGGCTCCTCTAAAGTCTCTGGAGCCTGGGGAGGCGAAAAAAGCATGGAAAAATGGGGGGAGTGCCTCTCATGTTTGCATGTGCACTGGGGGGGTCGCATGTTACATTATGGGTGTGGCACGCCTGCGCACGCCCCCCCCTGCGCTCCTCCCCCTTAAGACAGGCGACCCAAAAAAGGTTCACCATCGCTGCTATATGGCAACATTCTGAAAGCTTTAAATGTAAACATGATTAGCCTTTCCTCAGTAGAATGTTGATTGCCATCTGACTTAAGAATCCTCATTATCCAGCATTATATTGTTAATCATTCTATACACAAATATATTGGAGATGGAAATAAAAGCTTTGAATCTGGATAAAGGTGAAACAATACATAAACATGATTTTTTTCCACTAGTTTGCCATCCTTGCCATACCTATAAAAAGCTGTTCAAAAGCAGTTGCCTTATGATCTAAGATGAACATGTAAGGGCCATCTATTTATGTATGTATCTATAAAAATATTTGACCAATTGAAAATATAATGTCATATTTGGAAAACGAAGAACAGATTTCTTCACCTATTTCAATTGCGCACAAAATTCCAGAATTAAACAATGTCACTAATGGTAAGCAGAAGTACTAAGTGCCCACATTGCTAAACTATGCTGCAGATGAATCATAATTGTTTTTGTTTTAATAGGTATATGCACAAAAACAGAGAAACTACACGAATAAAAAGAGATGAAATCAAGAGACTGAAAGAATACCTCACAGTATTGCAGCAGCGATTAGAAAGGTAACATAGAACATTCACCAGTAGAAGATAATAGAATTTAGTTTACTGACTTTTTAAAATTTATATTTCATATATCATAGGTAGCTTTCACTGCCAGAAGTTCTTCGTATTGTCTCTCATGAGTTTAGGCTAATTTTAATTAATGCATTTGGCATTAAAATAATCCAAGAGGTATCAATTAAATAATCTTTTAATCTACTAAATGGTAGCTGCTTATCTCAAAGATTTTACTTGGCTGAAAGGCATCTGTCTTGTTTGTGTTCTTTTGTAGACCTGTACTGTTCATTCTTAGAAATCACAGTTATGTATCCTGTTTCTAAAATGACTGTGTTTAGAACACTTTTAATGACAACATTTGATATATTTTGGCAGATATTTAAGCTACGGTTCCGGTCCTAAACGATTCCCATTGGTAGATGTCCTACAGTATGCGTTGGAGTTTGCATCAAGTAAACCAGTATGCACATCTCCTATTGAGGATCTTAGTACTAGTGCTGTTCCTAGTGGTCCTTTGTCAACACATGCAATACCAAGGTAAAACTACCTCTGATGGGTCTGTTCATATAATATAGTCTAAAATACCGTATTTTTCGGAGTATAAGACGCACCTTTTTTCCTCAAAAAAGAAACTGAAAATCTGGGTGTGTCTTATACATCGAATACAGCATTTTTTTGCCTCCTGAAGGCCCGCTCCCTTCACCAAAATGGCTGTGCATAGCCTTATTGAGGCTTTCAGAGACCTCCTGGGGGCTGGGGAAGGCAGAAATGAGAAAAAAGGGGCCATTTTTGCACCCCCAGCAGCACTCTATAAGCCTCCATAAGGCTATGAATGGATTTTTTTTGACAAAAACCGGGCCACTTTTTGCTCATCCCCCCCCCCGGAGCATTCTGCAAGCCCCCACCCCCAGGCTATTCATGCCTTTTATTTGAAAAAAAATGGGCCATTTTGGGGATGTTTGCAGAGTGCAAAAACTTTTTTTTTGCTTTCGGAAAGCTCTTTACTTAGAGTGATTGATGAGAATTACATTGATCAAGCGCTGTGCCAGCAGAAACAAGTGTTAGGTGCTTCAGATTTCCTTCTCCAGCACATGGATAAATACACCTGGAAACATCTACCTATATACTCTTTCTCTCTCCCCACCTACCTACTGTATCTCTCTCTCTCTCTCTCTCTCTCCCTCCCTCCCTCCCTCCCTCCCTCCCTCCCTCCCTCCCT